CTGCACCCTAGAAATGTTACTGCATCTGCTAGGCAGTTTTCTAGAGCCCAACTTCAAATCAAACATACTTGGAAATTGAAGAAATATTTACTCTGCTTCTGAATCAGTTGTGAAAATGACAGCATATAATATATTGTTATTTATAAAGGCTTCATAGATACTTCCAGATGCAATAAAGTTCCCCAGAGAATATTGGCTCTTGCTCTGGTGTCAAAGCAGTAAAGAGTGATAATCTACATGGGATAAATTGCCTGTTAAATTTAGTAAGCCCTCTGATATTTAAGACCCACAACCATACTGATAAAACTTGCTTTTCGGTCTTTCCTCGCATCAAATCTCAAGGCTCCAACTAATATGAATTATTTGCTTTTTCTCAAACATGACTTTTGTATTCACATTTCTTGACTTTCCTCATGTTGATCCTTTCCCCTAGCAGAACATGAGTCTAGTTTTTAATAAAAGTCTATGTTTACAAGAGCATCTCCATATATATAATCTTATATGGTCTTTATCATAGTCTGTTACCATTTTACAAGTGAAAATTCAGAGGGAAATGTCTTACTGAATGTCTCACTTCCAGAATGCTATAGATCTGAGACTTGAATCTAGGCTTCAAAGCTTGACCACACTGTACTGCTTCTCCTGCTATAATTTAAAGGAAATTCAGAAAAAGGTACTTTCAATAAATATAACCACATATTCATGTTATATTTAACAAAATGCTATTAATGTCATTGGGCTAAAAGATGAAAGAAAATAGAAGAATTTAGACTTAAAAAACAGCAAAAAATTGAGAGAGGCATCCTTTACACAGAGTATTCACTCAGATTGAAGAATTCATTCTGCTCTTCTTCTTCTAATTCTTACTCATCATTAAGATTTTATCTTACGGGTACCTGGGGGGCTCAGTTCATCAAGCGTCTGCCTTCAGCTCAGGTCAGAATCCCAGAGTCCTAGGATCCAGCCCCTCATTGGGCTCCCTGTTCAATGGGGAGCCTACTTCTCTCTGTCCCTCTGTCTGCTTCTCTGCCTACTTGTGCGCTCTCTCTCTCTCTCTCTCGGTCAAATAAATTTTAAAAATCTTTTAAAAAATGATTTTCTCTTAAATGCCACTTTATATATAGAGCCTTTTCTGAACTCGTCCCCTTTGGAAACTGGAATAAGCATCTTGTGACAGGATCCTATGGCACTGTGATTCCTCGACAATAGCAATTAACATACTTTAGTATCTATCTCTTGTTTAGTTTTTTGTCTTTGCTGTGTGGTTGAAAGCTCCATAAGGGACAAAGACTGTTATCTTTCCATTACCCTAGTGTATACCAGAAGGATACATATCTCCTACAACATGGCAGCCATTTATATTTGGTGAACTTAAGAAAGAAAAGAGAGAGAGGAAAGAAAGGGGTTATTGAAAGCCCTAAGACTCCAAAGTCTGACTTACGAGTTTTTTACTTTGAATAGTTACTCAATTTCTCTCAATCACAGTTTCTCATGCTAAAAAGGTCACACTGGCTAGAATCACAGCAATTTATAAGAAGTGTTATGAAGTGTCTGGAACATAATAAACAAATGAAAATAATTTCTTTTTTTATATCCAATCACAGGATGTTCTCTGAAAGTTACATTGTGTCTCTGGAGAACGTCCTTTGGTAGCAGTTCCTTTTATGACTCTATTCATGTTTCAACCATGTGGAGAGAGACCTTGGATATTTCAAAATCAACACCACAAATTTGAATTTGTTGTCTTTCCTCTTAAAAGTTTTCTTCCCCCTTTGTTCCCTATTTCAGTTAAAGGCTCCATCATCTACATAGAAGACAAAATTCAGAGCCCAAAACTTGTATCCTACCCTCAGCTCTCCCATTGTTTTCCTTAATCTATGCAGTGCTTCTCAGGGAGGCATAATATTGCCTTCCAGGGGACATGTGGTGATGTTTGGAGACATTGTTGGTTATCACAATACGGAAAAGTTGGTGGTATCTAGTGGTAGAGGCCAAGGATGGTATTAAACTTTCCCCGATGCATAGGACAGACCCAGTAGCAAAGAATTTTTTGAATCAAAATATCAACAGTGCTGAGGTTGAGAAAACTCAACTCCTCAGTGCTGCGGGGTTAGTAAGCTTGCAAAACTGACAATCAAATCATTGGTCATTGAACCTGATGTCAGTACCATGTAATTTGCTGGTGGAAAAAGGGGCTGGCTTCTTCCAGAAAATGCTATAATTGCCCCAACTTTCAGTAGAACTGTGGCATGTTTGCTGATGAGATCCAAGGTTGTCTGTTTTGGAAGGAGTTGTATAGATTCTCTAGATTGTCTCTGCAACAGTAATTACAGAGTCATCCTGAGAACCCTGGAAGCCCAGAGACATTTTCAGGGAATATTCAAGATTAAAACCATTTTTACAATAATATTAAGGTGTTGTTTGTCTTTTTTCACTTATTATTTTATGGGAATAGAGTGCAGTTTTCCAGAGTCTACATGATGTACAATACTGCCACATAATAAAATCAGAAGCAAGTAGCCAGGACAAGTATCCAGCTGCTTTCTATTAAACCAGACTTTAGAGAGATTTTCAAAAATGTATAACAATGCTACTCTACTCACAGAGTTTTTGTTTTTCAAAAATATGGTTATTTTTCATTCAAATATTTATGTTAACATATAATAGGTTATTTAAAATAATAATTTTAAAATTAAATTAAAACAATTATTAAAATAATTTCAAAAACTCAGTTTGCATTTCTTTTTTTTAAATTTCTTTTTTAAGATTTTATTTGTTTATTCACGAGAGACACACACAGAGAGAGAGAGAGATGGGCAGAGACACAGGCAGAGGGAGAAGCAGGCTCCATGCAGGAAGCCCACTGTGGGACTTGATCCCGGGTCTCCAGGATCAGGCCCTGGGCTGAAGGCAGCACTAAACTGCTGAGCCACTGGGACTGTCCCCCAGTTTGCATTTCTAATCTAGGAAATATCAGTAGATATAATCATATAAACAAAAACACAAAAGTACTTCAGAATCCACAATAATTTTTAAGAGTGTAAAGGAGTCAATGGAACAAATAGTTGAGAATTGTTATTACAGTTCAGGGTTTCTCATATTTCATTTGTGTATATGCACAATATCTTAAAACACACACATACTCTGAATCAGTAGAAGTGATGGTTAATTTTAGGTGTCAACTTGACGGGGCCAAGGGGTGGACAGGTATTTGATCAAATATAATACTGGGTATTTCTATGTGGTGTTTCTGGATATGATTAGCACTTGAATTCCTAGAGTAGGTAAAGTATATTGCCCTCCCTAATGTGAGTGGCCCTCATCCAATCATTTGAAAGTTTGAATAGAACAAAAAGACTGATCCTCTTTAGAGTAAGAGGGAACTCTTCCAACCTTGACTGCCTTGAGTTGGGACACTGGTTTTTCCTGCCTTCTGAGTCAAACTGAAACATTTTCTTCCAAATCTTAGCCAGCGGGCCTTTAGACTAGAACCATACCATTAGCTATCCTGGTTCTTAGGCCTTAGACTGGAACTATATCATTGGCTCTCCTAGGTCTTGTGACCTGACAGCCTCCAAAGTCACATGAACTAACTCCTTATAAAGAAATCTCTTTGTCTGTATATTTCTCCTGTTGGTTCTGTTCCTCTGGCTAATCCTAACACAGTAGATCTGGGAAGGGGCCTGAGATTCTGCATTCTAACATCCTTCTAGATGATGCCAATGCTACTAGTCCATGGACCATACTCATAGTGGCAAGGGTCAAAGCATCAACATCACCTGGGAATTTATTAGAAATATAGAATCTCAGACACTGCTTTAGGTCTATAGAATCAGAATCTTCACTTGAACAAGATTCCCAACTGATACATTTGCACAGTAAAATTTAAGATATTGCTCTAGTGTAGTAGCTCTCAACCCTGACTACATAGTAGAATCACTTGAATAGTTTAAAAAAAAAAAAGAAAAATGCCCAACTCCACCCTGAGTAAATCAGAGTCTCACTGAATAGGCCCCAAATCCTTCTTTCTGTTTAAAATTTATTTATTTAAGAATGGGGGAGGGGGCAGGGGGGAGAGAGAGAGAATCCCAAGCAGACTCTGTAATGAGCAAGGAGCCAGGATGCCTAGGTGGCTCAGCAGTTGAGTGCCTGCCTTCGGGCCAGGGTGTGATCCTGGAGACCCAGTATCAAGTCCCACATCGGGCTCCCTGTGTGGAGCCTGCTTCTCCTTCTGCCTGTGTCTCTGCCTCTCTCTTTCTCTCTCTGTCTCTAATGACTAAATAAATAAAATCTTAAAAAAAGAAATGAGCAAGGAGCTGGGTGCAGGGCTTGATCTCAGAACCTGGAGACCATGACCTGAGCTGAAGCCGAGTCTCAACTGACTGCCACCAAGACACCCCCGCCCCACCCCACCATCCCTCTGTTTTAAAAGCTGCATAACATTAATGTGCAATAATGAATAAAAATCATTGGTCTAGAGAGAAAGACTGAAGATCAACCATTACAGTTTTTTGATAAAATTTAATATTTAATTATTCATCAATAATAAGAAGTAATAATCAATTATCAATGCTAATTAATAAAAATAAATTACCCAGGGTGTGAAATGAGAGCAAATGATGCCAACTTGCCACTTAGTATTTCTGGGATTGGGAGTCAACAGTTAATCAAACGGCATAATGCTTCAGTAAGACATGAAAGGAAATGATGTCTCTACTCTGTCAGGAGAGTCTATACAACCTCTTGTGTGTTTGATGTCTCTTCCTGGAGCAGATACTTGGCTTTAAGTGCTTACTGCATATTTGAGGTCTAGGGTTGAATGTTATGTGTTGCACTAGAAAAGTAGACTCACAGAGCTGGAAGTGACCTTCCAGAGCTGGATGAAGACTAGATTCTCCAGATTCATTTATAGATGGGGAAACTGAGGCTCAGAGGGTAATTCACTCACCATAAGAGGCAGCACTGCATAGTGGAGGGAATCACTGGTGTGCAACTCACGGCTCTTACACCTTCCTTGGAGTCAGCCCTCTTGGTCCAGAAACGAGTCATATGCTACAGCCAGAGCCTCCAGAAATCTATAAGCACAGTGAGCAGAATGCCTCCATTGAAATTTTGCTTACTGGTTACTGGGTATTTTATACCATTATTTATATTTTTTCATCATTCGACAACTGTTTATTAAGTTTCTGACAAGTCATGTCAGGAACTTAGCAGACCTCATTAAAAGTAGTTATTTTGTCATACTACAATTATTTGTAGACTTATTTAATAGACCCAGCTCTCCTGATTTCCACTTCAATATTTACTTAATGGCATGTCATACTGACCTCGTTGGCGGATGAAGAGGGCTGAAAAATTGAACTATTCACCCAGCTGGGAAAGTGGGACTGAGACCTTGATCCTGGACCCACTGTTCTCTCTGCAAGCAGTGTGGGACCTTACGAGGTCAAAGGGCCAAACGGACATTGGCTATCATTAGCCACTAAAAGCTCCTCCTAGCTTTTCCTCCTTTCTCTGAAAATAGTACTTAAAAGGAGAGAGAAATAAAGGAAAGAAAAGAAAAGGCACTCTGTTTGATGTACTGTATGTTGGAGGGTTCTGGAAAAATTTATAATGTGTTCTGAGCTCAGAGACAAAATTTTCCGAAAGGACATTTATACTATTTTCTTCCAAGAGTCTGCATCCTGTTATACTCTGGAAGAAGTGACCTCATGGTGTTTGTATTTGTCTCTCGCACAAAACCTCTTTTATAGTATTAATGCATGTGCGGATCTTAGGATATGTAATACATGAAGCTCTGACTTGGGCAGGTCATTCAAGGAACAGGCTGCTGCTTTCATAGCAGCGTCATCTTCTTGAATAGTGGCTGGGAGGGGGAGAATTGGATAGGATGAAGTCCGATGCCAAGTTCCTTGGAACATATATATGCCACAGCAATCGAAGGAACCTAATAAAAGCAAGAGAATATTAACCAGTGATACATGTTATTAGTCTCAGAGGAACTGGCAGTAATCGCTGTAATCCCTTACAGCCTATTAGAATTATAAGGTGATCGCTTGCACATTACCTCATTTGTATAATACTTTACAGCTTATAAAGTACTTCCCCATAGATCATCTTAGTTGTTTCTTCCAACATCCTTGTGAGATATGCAGCACTGGTATTATCCCAAATTTATGGGTAAAGAAACTGAGGCTTTTTTTTTATTTTAAAGATTTTATTTATTTATTCATGAGAGACACAGAGAGAAAGGCAGAGACACAGGCAGAGGGAGAAGCAGGCTCCATGCAGGGAGCCTGACGTGGGACTCGATCCCGGGTCTCCAGGATCACACCCTAGGCTGAAGGCGGCGCTAAACCACCGAGCCACCCAGGGATCCCCGAAACTGAGGCTTTGAAGGAAATTAAAAATGTGTGAATTCTTTTACATAGGACTTGACCACATCAAGAGCTCTGTTATACACACGAATTCAGTTGGTTTCCACAAGAAGTATCTGTGGTAAATAAAATTATTATTAATCCCATTGTGCACATAAGGAATCCAAGAGACAAGAGGGAATGGCTTAACCTAAATTTCGCAGCAAATTAAGTGACAGAGTGAGAAGTTGGGTCCAGGCTGACTCTTTAAAAAGTGCTCTTTCCACTATGTACAACTGCCTCTTGCTGTACAGATCATGGGCTTGGAGTCAGCCAGACCTGAGTATAAATCTTGGCTCCTACACAGGCAAACTGTAGGGTGAAGTCTGAGAAACCACTTAACCTCTCAAAGCACAACTTTCTTTTCTTTTCTTTTTTTTTTTTTTAAAGCACAACTTTCTAATCAGCAAACTAGGAAAAGTAATACCTACCTCATGGAGTTACTGTGAGGCAAAAAATGACCTAATGTTTGTAAAATGTTTAGCATCGTGCTTGACACACAGAAAGGGCTGTTACTGCAATAAATTTTATCTCTGGCCCCCTCTGGTGCACAAGCCCATTCTGTCCCAACTTTAGTCCCACCGGCGCTGCCTCAAAGCTTTGGAAAAGGTTATTTTTTCCAACTGAAGCTGTGGATCGCTTTCTGGGCAGTGCGGGAAGATCTGCACTGGTATCTGGAACGGAAGTCCAGATTTAAGGAGCCAGCGCTTTCATGTCCCTGCCTTCATGGCTCCTAGAATTCCTGCAAGCCCCCTCGTTTCCAGCCTCTGTTCCCAGATAAAGTGAGAACTATGGTCAGAAGGAAAACATACTGGAGCTCTGTCTGAACATCTGGTTAACATTCCAGAGCCCAAGACCCCACACTAAGAGGACCCTGCTCTCATTCTCTCGCTCTCTCTCAGGGGCATCTCATCAACCTCAGCTATCTCTGCTGCCCCTCCAAGAAACCAAGCACCTGAAACTCAAGGTGGGCTTGAAGCAAAACAAGGCTTACAGTCAGGGAATAATAAAAACTTGTAGAGATCAGCCCCAATCACTTATTTGTTAAACATGTTGGTATTTCTTGTGGGAAATAGATATTTCTCGAAGCTTTCCCCTCTTCCAGAAACTCGACACTGTATTAGGGCGGAGTGATCAGCATGACCAGGCCCTGCCTGGCTTTACAGCCTCCCATGCATCTTGCAGCCCACTGGTTCTGCACAGTGTTCAGTTCTCCAAACACTCCTTGCCACTCACATTCAGTGCGTTTGCACAATTTCTCTTTTTACCAAGATTTACCAGCAGTACTTACTGCCTGAACTGTCGCTGCAGGGTGGGTTGCTATTCTTCCCAAAGGTATTGTTCAAGAAACTCCTAAAAAATACTCCTGAGGGGCACCTGGGTGGCTAAATCAGTTAAGCATCTGCCTTTGGCTCTGGTCATGATCTCAGGGTCCTGGGATCCAGCCCCACATCGGGCTCCTTGCTCAGCGGGGAGTCTGCTTCTCCCTCTCCCTCTGCTCATGCTCTCTCTCTGTCTCAAATAAGTAAATAAATAAAATCTTACAAAAAAGAAAAGAAAAAGAAATGCCTCCTGGTTGCCTCTATTCCTGGGGAGCTGTCTGGAATAAAGTTGGTGATTTTATCTTTAACCACCTCCACTACAGCCCCTAAGAACTCTGCCTATGTTTAATGTTTGCACATCTATGTCCTTAAAAAGTCTCTGAGCTCACTGGGGTAGGTTTTTCTGTTGATTTATGAACCCCAACGCTAGGCATAATGACTTTTTTGAAAGTCAGTATGGAAGTTTTTGAATCTTAATCATTTTTACCTCCTGGACACCTTCGGCTACCTTGGACGTCTGTAATACTGTAATTCTTTTTAGTCATGACTCATAGTTGATGACAGTGTTAAGTCTTATTAAATATTAGTATGAAAATGATGATTTTTTTTCTGATCCAGGTTAATGGGCCTTTTGAGTTCTATCTCACATTCCTAAGAACTCCTATAAAAGTATGGAGTATTTAAAATCAGACTGAGATTCAAATGATCAACATCCCTCTACAGAAGGTAAATTTGACCTTTTGCGATTCTGTTTCAGATTGTTGTAATGCCTTGAGTGAGGTGGTGTGAGAAAAACAGAGGATACCTACAACGGCATCTAGCACATGGCCGCTGCTAAATAAATGCTGAAAGTTTTTAGTTGATTGAGACTTCATGGGATGATGAAAGAAGCCCCAAATACCTTGGATTTGAATCTTACCCTGCCTCTCATTAGTCATGTGATTTGGGCCTCTTTAAATGTCAGTTTACTCATCTGGAATATGGAGCCAAAAATACCCACTATGAAGCCTTTCTGTAACAAGTGTTACAGTAACATACTTTAGTATGGGCCTGGAAAATAAGAAATGAACAGTAGGCTGACTGATTGGCATTTTTAAAAAAGATTTTATTTATTTATTCATGAGAGACACAGAGAGAGAGAGGCAGAGACACAGGCAGAGGGAGAAGCAGGCTCCATGCAGGGAGCCCAATGTGGGACTCGATTCCAGGACTCCGGGATCACCACCTGAGCCAAAAGCAGATGCTCAACCACTGAGCCACCCAGGTCCCCCATGATTGGCATTTAAAAATATAATCAATTGCACTCTTTCAGGTCAGATTTCAGTTCCTAAATATATTAAATATTCTCAGAGTGATGATATAACTTTACCTACTCAGTCGTTATGAAAGTTAATGATAATTTATTGATTTTTAAATAGAAATAATAATATTTAAAGATGATATCAACTATATATATTTTTTTACAAACTTTTTTTTAACAGATGCCAATGATTTTTTTAAACATTTGAAGAAGGGAGATGGTTAAATAAGCAAAACATACTTCAGTTAAAACATCAATACAATTATAAAAAGATAAAGTTTTAAATGAACAGAAATAAATTACTTATTTCTTAGAAACTATTTTTATGACTAAAAATATTTTAAAAATATAATATAGGGACAAATAGTTAAAATAATGGACATAAATACAAGTAAATAAATATTTTGAAGGGAAAAAACTAATGAAATAATCTAAGCACGGAACAAATGCAAGGACTAAAGATTTATTGAACATAGGTGCCAGCAACATATGGAGAAGCCCTTTGATTAACTGCTCACTCTTGCATTTCCCTGCAGCTTCCCATCAGTGCTCCAGAGTCTCAAAGGCCAGAATGGTTGGCGTGTGTTGCACGTGAGCTGCACAACTCTGGCCACCCCAGAGAGCTCTTCCTAAGTTTCTAGCTGATGTTTAACATGAGAGTAAAACATTAACAGATGCTGTGTCTTAACTTTGCCTGCTGTCTTACTGGCTTTTCTCGTGGGTCCCTCTTGGCCGATGATCATCTGACACCAAGCTTGGGAAGCTGCCTGGTAAAGGGAGAGGTCGGGAAACGAAAGAGAGAGAGAGAAAGAGTCAGAGAAAGGAGTGGGGGTGCAGGGAAGAGGGAGGGAGAGAGAGATTGAGAGGGAAGATTATTTTGTGTTTTACTGGGAATTAAGATATTTGGAATGTAGATCCACTGAAGTTATTAACTTACTGTAGGAATTTGGGAAAGAGACACCTCCACCTCTCTGTGCCTCAGTTCCCTCATCTATAAAATAAAGCAATAGGATAGATGGCCTAAAATCCTTTTCTAGAGCTAGCAGTAATATTCAGTGCTTACACTGCAGTCTTGAATTACTTTTATACTTTTATAGCCTTACCAAAACATTAAAACCTCTATTAATAAGACTAATCCAACCATTTAAGTAGATAAGTTTTATCATTACATCAACAAAAGGGAGGAGGAAACTAATGATAATGTTTACTATCTGTCATACGCTTTCATACAGTTCTCATTTACATGATGCTAGACCTATAAGGTAGTCTTTCCCCATTTTATATTCTAGAGGTTAATCACTACTGCCAGGATATTAATTAGCAAGTCCAGGCTGTGATTGCTTTTATTTATTTACATTCTCCCCCAGTAGATACTGTTGAGCACCATGCCAGGTACTGAATTAGATGTAGGGATGTCGTAGGGAACAAAGTGTCTCCAAATATCTTATTTCTTTTTCTGCTACATTGAAAGCATATTCTTGCCATAATATCTTGAGAATGTCAAGGAACCAGATAATTTAAATTTTTCAGAATATATCAAGTATTTGGGGGATGGGGAAAACCTCTAAGTCACTTGAGAGTAGTTTAACAACATTTAGGCTCTGACTCTTCTCATTTTACATTTATAATGTGAACTTCATAATGAAAAAAAATGGATTAATCTCATCTCTATAAACACAAGGCATGCATATAGTTTTCTCTCTTTTTTTTTTAAGGAACCACACTAATACCTCCCAATTTTCACTACAAAATTGTGGAATATAAACAGCATTTTTAGAAAAAAGTAATTCTCTAATTAAAAGGCAAAATAAGTACTTGAGGAAAACACTATTAAAAGATTAGTTGAATAAAATGAATAATTATGGAATATTGAAATAAAAAAGATTTATCACAGGCATACCTTATTACTGAACACATTCCATACAGTAGACATTAAGCTAGGTACTATGCAGGATCAAAAACTCAAAAGAATTTAGATTTAAAAAAAAGAGAATTCCGATCATACCAAAGTGAATAAAGGATTCTGTTGATTTTTTTCAGGATTGCTGCTGCTATTATCACTGCCACTACTATTAAAAACAGCAATTCACATTTACTGTGTTCTCACTATTTGCCAAACACAGCATTAAGAGCTTTGAAAGCATCATAGCATTGGTCTTCTCAATACCTCTATAATATAGGCACCATCATTCTTTCCAGTGCATAAATGAGGATGTCAAAGAGTTAGGGAGGCTAAGTAACTTGCATACAGACACACAGAGAAAAAGTGGTAAGCTGATATTCAAAGAAGAATTCTTTAAAGATTTTTATTTATTTATTTAAGGTGGGGAGGGGCAAAGGGAGAAGGACAGACTCTCAAGAAGACTCCATGCTGAACTCAGAGCCCATTGCTGAGTGCAGAGCACAGAGCCAAGGTGGGGCTGGATCCCAGGATCTGAAAGAGATCATGACCTAAGCAGAAATCAAGAGGTGGTCACTGAAACTACTGAGCCACCCAGGCACCTCAAAGACAGATTCGTCTAAGTCCAAAGAGAATGTTCTTAGCATCTAACCTAATAGTCATGTTAAGTGATTACCTAAGTGATTACCAAATAGATAAAGCTGTTAATAATATAAAAATCGAGATATGAGCTGATCTGAGGCAAATAAGATGAGTTAAGATTCAAATGTATTCACTTTTAAGTGACAGTAAGACATAGAAGTGAATGTCCAGTGAGACTGCAACATGGATAGGGTTTAGATCTACTCCTGCAAAGAAGTCAGGCAAGGAGACAGCCTATGGCTGTGCTTAGAGTGCAGCACGCAGGAACTCTGAAGCTAATTATGGCAGGAGAGATGAGAGAACTTGACATACCTGAGCAGCTATAGAGAGGTGAGGACTTCTACATCTTCAGAAAAACCCTTGGTAGATTCCGTGGTCCTGCGCACATAGAGGCATGGTATAGGAGTTTAATATTTGTGCAAAGACCGAAGGGCTAGACATCAAGTGATCTGTTACATTTCAGGAAGTGGAGCCTTGGGTTCCTCCATTATATTGGATAAGGTAAAGTCTGGGAGATTCCAGTACAGTTTCTATTTTTCTTCTTCAAACTTTTTTTGACTATGACCCACAGTAAAAAACACATTTTTTATCACCATCCGGTACACATACTCAAATAGACGAATATATTTAGCTAACACAAACATCTCATAAAAAGGATATTTTCCCTTACTATGGTCATTACACTCTAACATTTTTCTACTATATTTCATTTTTTATATTGGTAGACACAGTTAACTAAATTAATTTCCCAGCCCACTAAGGATTATAGTCTGCTGCTTAAAAAGTATTGGCCGAATGATCACTACTAACAACCCATCTGCCTTAGAGGAGGAGGAAAATCTCATGTAGCCTATGAAACATGTTGACCCATTCTTGAAAATATGACACCTGAGGATAAAAGTGAGTTCAGAGTCATGAATTCAGTTGGGGGTCTGGGCACAGAGATGACGATTGAGACTCTGGAGTAGTTATTTGGAGGTAGAAAAAAACCATAGGAAGCAGAAAGTAAAAAACTGAACTCTACATAATACCTATAGTTCTGCAGTGGAATGAGAAAGATGAATTCAAGGAAGAAAAAAAACACCATGTTTGAGGACTTTAATAAAGTATAATTTATGGCAATTGTTTTGGAGTCAGGGATCATCGATCTATTTTATATTGATTCTTTTTTATAAATCACCAGTGTATGCTAGGGCATTGTGGACTACAAAATAATTTATTCTCACCGGGGCTGTGAATCTGTTTCTTGTCTAAAAATGTTTACCCAATTCCAGGAAAGATGGCTTGTTCTGCCATCTAGTGGTCTGTTTTATTACACCGTCAGCTGTAAATTGACAAGCTCTGGATCCGAAAAACCAGCAAATTTACCCAAAGACACATTCTAATTACTGTAAATGCTATGTGAATATTGAAGGCCAGTCAACAGAGCTAAACATTATAAAAACTTAGGTGGCTCTCCTCTTACAGTTGAATTTGGACACCTTTTCAAAATATTCCTTCTCATAAAATTCTAGGAAAAACTGTAAATGAGCTAGAAATAAGCTTAACATTCAGTGAGTAAGACAGTCCTGAAAAAAATTCTAGAACCCTGTCAAGGGACATGGAAGAGTGATAAGGTATGCTATGCTTATCAAAGGAAGACTCATTATTATAAATAGGCACACTTTTCTCAACTTTAGCTATAAATCAAAATCCCAGGAAAATCTCCAAAATGTTTATTTACAAATCGGTTCTTGTGTTTTTTAATGAAAGGGAAAATGTGAAACAATAACCCCTCAAAAGATAAGGTAAATAAATAACTTATTTAAAGGGTTATAAAGTATCATAAAATAATAGTTATTAAAATATGTAAAATTATGCAAAAATAGATCTGTAGACCAACTGAATAGCACACGGAGGCCAGAAAAAAATCATGAAAGATATTGAAATTAAGCTGATGAATAAAGTGACATTTCAAATCAGTGGGAAAAAGAGAGCAAGTATTCAATGAATGGTGTTACCAAAATGTGTTATGCATATTGAAAAAAAATAGTCATTTTCAACTTCAAGCCATATATTGGTATAAATTCCTTATGGCTTAGAGAGGTAAAAGTAAAACACAAAACTATAAAAGTGTTAAGGAGAAAATGCAGGGTAAATTTTATAACCATATGGTAGGGAAAATCCAAGCAAAACACAACCCCAGAGCCATAAAGAAAAGGTTTGACACACTTAACTGCATAAAAATTTTCAATTTCTCTGCGATGACAGACACCATAAACAAAGTTAAACAACAAGTGACAGACTGGAAATTACATTCAGGATACAAAAGTGCTTCTCCATGTACACATCAATAAGAAAACAAGTCAATAAAAAATGGGTGAATGATTTGGACCAGGATTCACTGAAGAAATACAAATGGACCAAACCTGATAAAGATGCTCAGGCTTAACACTGATCAGAAAAATGCAAATCAAAATCAGGTATTTTTACTTATTTTTAAAGTTTGGAAATACGAAGAGTGTGTAATAACACGCGGAAATGAGCACTCTCAAACACTCTAGAAGAGGAATCAACTGGTAAAACCGGCTTGGAAGGCAGTTTGGCAGACTCTATAAAATTTCTAAATGTACGTATTTTTGACATAGCAGTTCTACTTCTGGAATGAATCCTCAGGAAATACTCACATATGTTCACAAAGATTTATGTTCATTGCTTCATTTTGTTAAAAATACGAGTGAAAAATGGTAAAGACGTGAAAGCAAACTAATGTCTCTTGCTTTCCAAAACCTGACGATCTCCTAGCTGTCTCCCTTCCTCCATGGCCACCGAGACTTCGTTCCTGTTCATCTCCTCCTACTCCTTACCTCCTCAGGACTCAATCCTAAGACCTTCTTTCCATCCCTCCTCATTCCCTTGGTGACCTCCTCTGGCCTCTTGGTTCTGATTCAACATCTGCGACTCTCCACTTGATTTATGCTCCAAGCTCGTTGGCTCCTCCTCTGACCTCCAGATGCTTGCTGACATCTCTTTTTCTGTACCTTATATGCATTCTACCCATGACCTGAAAAACAAACTCTCGATCTCTTCTAAACCTGTCCTTGCCTCTACCTCCTACAGTTCAGAAAATAGAAATTTCATCATTCCAGGAGCTCAGGCCAAAATCCTAGAAGGCTTAATTTGAAACACTTTCTCTCATATCCTCTATTCAACTTGCCAGAAATTCGTAGGGCCCTACTGTGTCTGTAGTCTCAAGACATACGAAGATTGAAGCTCGCCAACACTGCTCACCTCCTCCATTCTGAGCCATCACCATCTCCTATGGGAATGACTGAAACAGCCTCCTAACAGGTGTCCGGGAGGTCTGCTCCCTAATGTGATCTGCTTTTAAAGGAGCAGATAGAATGATTCTTTTAAAATGAAAATCAGATCCTGTCTCTCTCCTGCTTACAATGCTCCACTGGCTTCCCATCTCACTCACAGAAAGCCAGCGTTTTTACAAAGCTGTATAACCTTGACCTGAACGTCATTTCCCCTCCTCCCAACACTCCCTCTCCTTGATTTTCTCCCCTTCCCACTTACCCACAGCTAAGCTCTCTCCTGACTCACCCTACTCAGGACACTTCGCCCTCCTTCCAAATCTTCCAGCTCCAGAGATAACCATGGCTTAGGGCCCATTCACCTCCATACCCTCTGCCTGTATTTCTTCACTTGCTCCCTGACCTATTTTCAGCCTTTACTCTCCCGACCACTATTTAAAATGGCACATTTCGTCATTACCACCTGAGTATATCATGTGTACATTTTATGCTTTACAAATCCGTGTATTTATTTTCTGCCTCCTCCAACATTGCTTTTAACTGGGCTTTTGTTTGGTTAGCTGGATGATTCTGTTTATTATTATTCACTTATGTACCTCTAGCTCTTAAAATAGTTCTGGCACATGAAGGTATTCAGTAAGGAGCTGATTGAAGGAATGATAGAAGTCTACCAATAGGAGAGTATCATAAGACACTGAACTTTAAAAAATCATTCTTCTGTTCCTCAAACGGCCTTTGAGAAACTATGGCATCAACTTTATTTTAATCATAATGTTTTATTGTTGGCCTCCTGGGTGGCTCAGTCTGTTAAGCCTCCCAGGACTCTTGAGATCAGCTCAGGTCATGATCTCAGGGTCATGAGACTGAGCCTTTTGTTGGCACTCAGGATGCATCTGCTTGAGATTCTCTTTCCCTCTCGTGCCTACTCCTCTCTAAAATAAATAAATAAATAAATAAATAAATAAATAAATAAATAAATAAAATGTTTAAGAAAATAATGTTTTATCACAAAATATATGATTTCTGATATTTTTAATATTGTGCACATGCTTTAAATACATCTTCATCTAAATCTAGGTGCTGTAAATCCACTCACTCAATTTATAGAAAATGGTTGCCATATAATCCAAATAGCAAAGATAGTTCTTATATTTGTGTCCAAAATGTTTTACTTTGTTTTCAGTTCAAACAGCATATAAATAACTGGGAAAACCAATTCTAAGCTATTCCAATTGCATGATAAAATCAATATTCTCTCTGTTAAAACTTTATGTGCCTTGGGGCGCCTGGGTGGCTCAGTGGTTGAGCATCTGCCTTTGGCTCAGGGAGTAATCCTGGTCCTGGGATCGAGTCCCACGTCGGGCTCCCTGCGAGGAGCCTGCTTCTCCCTCTGCCTGTCTCTGCCTCTCTATGTCTTTTGAATAAATAAACAAAATCTTTAAAAAACAAACTTTCTGTGCCTTGTTCTTCCTGTCCCCTTCCCCCCCACCCCCGCCCCCCGGGCGACACATTCCCGACTATCTTTTGATTTACACCTTAAAATAATTTCTATCTTGAGACAATTGCATCACAGTGAATAATAAGGATTGGTGAGAGGTTCGCTTCTCTGCTGTTAAATAGGTGAATGGCGATTGATTGATTGATTGATTGATGAATTGATTGCAAAAGGGGAGGCAAGCAGGACTTTCAGACAATAGGATCATTCTCGGGCAAATCAATTTCAGGGAAAAGTTTATTTGAAAGTCAAAGATTTAGAAATCGTTTCCTTTTTCCATTCCAATACATTCTTGGAAAATCTATGAGCTTAGCAACCTTGAGTACTCAGATACCCATACCCCATTCTAAAGATAAATATCATGCAATTCTATGCAATAGTGATTTAAAAAGGTGATGAAAGGATGCAGAAATTCCCAAGAAATAATTGTAATTGAAAAAAAACTCCACAAGTTGCTTAGCAAAACTACTCATTTATCTTTGAGATTAATGTATTGCCAATAGCTTTACATAATAACATTGCAAAGTTGCAACAAATTCCTACTTCCTTTTTCCCTTTATACAACTATTTTCCTATCCTGTACTGGTGATAGTCACTTTCAATCTTATCACATCATGTGTTCTGTTACAGTTCTTTGTATCTATATTAGTTCCTCCCACTAGATAGTTCCGTAAAGGGCTATATCATTTTCAATTTTGCAATTTCCATACAATGCCTGGGATAGAGTAGGCTGTCCATGACATTTTGAATGAATTAATAAATGAATAAATGAATGGAAGTTAGTGCTTCATCCCCTTTTTCTCCCCTTTGCCTCATTGATTAAAAAACAAATAATTTTTATTTTATTTTGCATACCTAATGATCTCTTACTGAGATCTTACTGGACAGTGAGTTCTAGATATTTAACTCCCAGACGTTATCTCATTTTTCTTCCCCATTTTGTGGTGAAGAACCATGGGTAGACATAGCCTCAGCTTACACATAGAGAAGTAGAAACCCACAGACGGAAAGCATCTTTCTAAATGCACTGCCACAGACACTGTGACCATTAGGTTATAAGTGTTGTTTTGTCAGTGTGAAGAGTCACGAATGTACCGAGACAAGGGGTGCCTGGGTGGCTCAGTCAGTTAAGCATGGAGTCTTGGTTTCAGCTCAGGTCATGATCTCAGGGTTGCAAGATTGAGCCCCATATTGGGCTTCATGCTCAGCAGGGACTCTGCTTGGGATTCTCTCTCCCTCTCCCTTTGCCCCTTCCCCTGCTCTCCCTCTCACTCTCTCTCTCTCAAATAAATAGATAAATGTTAAAAAAAATACTAGAGAGTGACATCTCAACCAGATAGTATTTGTCAAAAGAAAAAGGGAAATGGCTACTTTTTTGATATGGACATGCATTTCTGTTTGCACGTTTATCAAAGTAAAAACAAGACAGAAATTTACAAAAGCAGAGTAAATTTTTGTGTTTGACTTCTGTAGTGCTTTTGATATTGAATATTAATAATAGCAGCAGTTAAAACAATGTCAATAAAACAAAATAACAGAGTCAACCAAGAAAATGGTAAGAAATTTTAGTACCTTTCTCCCTGCCTCCCTGGAGATAGGGACCTTCTGCTGCATAGAAGCAATAAAGCCATTTCTGGGTTACAAAGAAATTACTACTAAGCTTTACAAGGTGCAATGTTAAGACAATGCTTAAGTCCCTAATTGGTACTGTGTTTTTCACATTTATTTTAAGGTGACACAAACAGAAATGTGGTATTTTCAGAGACAGAAATGAACAGAAAGGGGACCGTTATACCTTCAGTAATGTATAGAACTCCTGGACAAACAAGTGTGGTCCAGTTCAAAAGCAATATTATAAATTTTCTTAAAAAACGAGCCTGCATTACTCAATTGAAACATAAAAATCAATTCTACATTTTCCAGGAATATATACCCCCTACTCAAATAGAAATAACCTAACAGAAGAAGCCAGAAAATATAGGGAAAAAAATTTGATAAATGATAACTACATACCAGAAATTCAACTGCTTTCTGCATTAGACAGATGTTCAGCCTAGGATCTGAGTGATATATGAAGGTCTCATAAAGCTATTACACTACTCTATTTACTATAATATTAAAATACACCTTAAAATTATCTTTACTCATCTTTCACAATTACTTCTGCCTTTACCTTTACAAGACAGAGGATGCTCTACAAAATATGAAAGCAATAAATTAAATCAGTATGTAAAAATATCACTACGTTTGGACAGACAATTGGAAGATTGGTATTAAAACTTCATAGATGATATTAAGAAGAAAAATGCAGGCTAGGAATGAATATTTGGAATGCATATATTGGATGAAATGTCCATATAATCAGCACACAAAAAGCTCATTTATATCAAGAAAAAAAATACTCTAATTCTCTAACTGAATAATAAGCAAAAGATATAAAATTAAAAAATATGACATCAATTGAACATATAGAATAAAATTTCAATCTCCCTAAAAATCAAAACTCAATAAAAATAACAAGATATTTTTTAACCTAAAGCTTTGGAAACAATCTAAACTACTGAAGAAAATTATCCTGTAAATGTGATCAGAATTTATCTATTTATCATCAATTATATGATTTCAGATGGGAAAATATCTAGCTGGTTTAAAGACCTTGTGAAACATTGGTATAATATAACATCCTTCATAAAATAATAAATTTGACGAATAATGGCATAATGAAATAATCAAGATGTAATATTAAATGAAAAGGCAAGATTTGAATTGAAAATATTATTTCAATTTCATTTTTCAAATATAATAATGACAGTAATTACTTGAGAAAGAGTCATTTCTTTATGCTCCTGTACATGTGGCTTGTCCTCTCTCTATCAACCACATGTACATACACATGTACATGCACGCATGCACACTACCTTCCTGTTTTCACTTCCTTTAATTGCAACAGAGAAATAGAATGATTTTGTTTCATTTTGTCTTATTTTAATTTAGTTTAGTTTTTTAAAGAGAGTGCTTGCCTGTGCACTGAGGGGGTGGAGGGGCAGAAGGAGAGGGAGAGAATCTCAAGCATATTTCTGCTGAGCTGGAGTCCCTGGGGAGGTGGCAGGTG